CAGTTGCTGTTGTTGTGGCTGTGGCTGTTGCTTTTACTGTTGCTGTGGCTGTGGCTGTGGCTGTGGCTGTGGCTGCTACTGTTCTGTTGCTGTGGATGTGGCAGTGGCTGCGGCTGTTGCTGTTGCTGTTGCTGTGGCTGTGGCTGTGGCTGTGGCTGTGGCTGTGGCTGTGGCTGTGGCTGTGGCTGTGGCTGTGGCTGTGGCTGTGGCTGTTGCTGTTGAGGTTGCTGTTGCTGTTGCTGTTGCTGTTGCTGTTGCCGTTGCTGTTGTTGTTGCTGCTGCTGTGAACGAATAAAAATACGATCAACAGCTGGGGCAGCGGAAAAGCCAGCGAGACATAAGAGAAAAACTGGCAATGCTGACACGAAGAGTAGCAAACGTGATACGGGCAATCGAAACTGTGAGCCCAGAAACCTCGCTCCAACTCTCATTCCTACCCCTACTCCTACACATACACCTACATCCACTTCTACTGCTTCTCCTGCTCCTGCTGCTCCTCCTGCTCCTCCTCCTCATCCTTGTACGTTTTGAGCGTAATCACCATCAGCTTCATCATAACCGCCACGGTCATGAACACAATCGTTGCCCGGGCCATGATAATTGTCATCACAACATGCTGGTCACCCCTTCGCCAGCGACGGAGCCAGCACCTTCCCAGCAACATATTGCCTTTTTGCGAGGTCTGGTCAGCTTGTTATTTGCATTAGCATGGCACGTTTTCCTCACCGGTGTTCGGTGTGAAGCTATGCCTGTCGTCCATCACTTTGGGGGACGTGACGTAACCCAAAGCCGGTAAGTTCAAGACATCTGCAAGCTCGGCTTTCCAAGCAGGGTCGAAGGCCCTGTTGCTTAAAGTTCTTCGATGGAGGGCTAGGTATGTCCAGCGCGCTGCTCTTCAGACGTGCCCTCTCGGTCGGTAGAGAGAGTCATTATCGAAGCAAGCCTGCGCAGCAAAGGGAATCAGAGGGATCTTTCCCGTCTCCACAGCACGGGGCCCAGAAGTCTTGAATAGGTGCCTAAAGCCCTATGTCAGGCCTAGACGGCATCCTACAGCGTGAAATGCTGGCATGTCAGGACTCACAACCATCTCCCAAGTCCTACTGAAGGCGCTAGGTCCCAAGCCCCCAAGCTCCGCTAAGCATCCCTCATCTCCTGTCGCCTGTGCGCCAGGCCCGCCCCCAGCCAACAGAGGCCGACAAGCGAAGATAACAAACAACAACGAGCGAGTCGCAAGCGCAAACACCATAACTAACAACGAAATGCCACGACCAACAAGGCTCACAACATCAAAGGGGAGAAGTTGAAGAAGAAGAAGAAGAACCAGAAAAAAAAACATGCAATAATAAAAAGGCTAATGATGATAAACTACAAATACTGATAGTAGAGTAGCAAAAATAACAACAAGAAAGAATAACAAGAGAACAGCAACAACTGCAACGACAATGACAACGACAACAGAGAAGGACAACGACAACGACAGCGACGACAACAACAATAACAAGAAGAATAAGAACCACAATCAGAACCAGAACAGGAACAAAAAACAAAAAAGCGGCAGCAACAACAACAACAACAACAAGCACAACCACAGCCGACAACCGACAACCAACAACCACAAGAATAGCAAGAAGAAGAACGCACCACCTGCACCTCCTTGCCCGGGAGCCTCCACGCCGAAGGCACCCATGGCCCGGCTTTGACCGGCGCTTCGAGGCTTCCGCGCCGACGAGGCCACGGGTTCCAGGGAGCTCCTCTAGCTAAGTTTAGGGCTTAGGGCTTAGGGCTTAGGGTTTAGGGTTTAGGGTTTAGGGTTTAGGGTTTAGGGCTTAGGGTTTAGGGCTTAGAGTTTAGGGTTTAGGGCTTAGGGGCAATACCACAATAATACTGTGATGTACTACAAGAATACCGTAAATCAAATATGACTATTACAATACTAGGGTCGTACTTGCTACTACTTGTATAAGAGTTACTGTTAGGGGCTACTTTAAGGGTTTCTACAAGTGGGTACTAAACGGATTCAGGGTTTGGGTCTGGGGGGGCTTGTTTTTTTGCGCTTAATTGTTGGTGGGGAAGCTCCCTAAAGGCGTCGTGAGGTGGGGCTTTTGTGGCTTTAGGCTTCGAGGGTTGGCGTTATGATTTTGGGCTATCCCGAGTCCGTGTAGAGGCTACAAGGTGCTTGCTCTTGTGCTTGTCTCGACTCCGTGTACTCATAGCACGTGCAGCCAAGATTCCCAACTTTCTCCTTCTCTTCGAGAGTTGCCGCGCGGAGGGCGGACGCCCTGAGGCGGGCCTTCTCTTGGAGGAGGCCGTGGCACTTCGCGATGGTCTGCCTCGTTCGGGGCTTTTGGGGTCCAGGAGTTTGGGCTTTGGGGGTTTTGGGGTATAGCTGGTCGGTTTGAGGTTTCGGCTTCTGTCGAGTTCCAGTGAGACCCACATGAGTCGGTCACCTTTTCTTCAAGAAGAGATCCCAAGACTGAGTCGCTGAACACCACTCTGAGAGCAGGTAAGCAAGCCGCGTCGACGGCTCGTGGATAGATACGAGAACCACGACTAAGGCGGTTTATCGTCGTGCTCCAGACCGCTTTCACTGCTAAAGCAGGTTTCAGAACGACGGTATGAATAAACCGCACATCAGTCGAAAAACGATGCAGCAAAGGTGACATGACCAAGTGAATTCGCATGCCCCGGAGCTGACCAATATGTTTCACAGGACTTCAGCTCAAATCCGGCATGGGCGAGAGAGGGATGATGGCGGATTCGCAATCAACATCCTTGTACTTAATTTGTCCCAGAACTAACTAACCTTCTCGTCACCGTTTCTTCCATCGCTTGAGAATCCGCAGAAAGCACTGGCCAACTGATGTTGGCAAAAAGGGTCCATGCTTCAAGAATTCCAGCACACCTCCAGCTGGGACAACTGGCTTGCTGTTCCAAGCGGAGTTGCGCTAATTACTCCCAGAACCAAAAGACTTAGCAGCTTTCTTCCCTGGCAGCTCCAAACCGAAGATCAAATGTGCACCAGACGAGCCATGACGAGGCATGTACCCACTTATGCCCTTGTGCTTGTCTATGTTCTTCCCTCATATTTCCTTAACCCCCGAACCTAAGCACCAAGCCCCTAGACCCCTAGTACAACGCGTACTCCAACCCTTATGATATTCAATAAACTCTTGTCAAACCCTACGACAACACTGTGCCATGAAACCCGCTAACTCTCTCTCTCTCTCTCTCACACGGACTCAGTTGCCTGTCAGCCGCGACGCAGAACATAGCGATTTCGCCATGCACGCTTATCTAAAATGAAATGCGAGAACCGAAACTACCAAATTACAAGGATGTCACATGCTGTGCCCAATCATCCCGGATGCCCTCCAAGCTGAGTTGAGGTAGGCGTTTCAAGTTGTGTATGTGTATATCCGATTGGATACGTGACCCATGCAGTGCGACGACAGTGGCTGGACACAGCAGTTGTACCACGAATAAGTCCCCATGTAGCATGAGAAGACGTGGAATAAACTGCTCCAGGACCGAATGCACTGTTCCGAAACCTAACTCTAAACGAAAAATCTGTCAAACCCATATCAAGCCCAAAAGTCCGACTATACCCAAAAACCCGTCCCCCCTAACCCCTACTACGTCTTCCGGGTCCAGGCCCTATGCTCTCTCAAGGCTGTCTGGTGCTAAGTAGGGAATGGGGCAATGGATCCGTTATAATAGTCCCTCAAGGTCCCTAATAGAGCCCCCTATAACCCATTCCCTAAGCACCAGATGTTTTGATTTTTTGAAAAAATCAAAACATGAGCCCCTATAACCCATTCCCTAAGCACCAGACAGAAGGGGCACTCAGATTTCCTCAGCGAACCTTGCCGGCTTCACGTGCCCGGGCAGCCTTCGGCTCGGGCTTACGAAGGATTCGGGACCCTGGGACTCCTTTAAAGAAAGCCTTAAGGGAAGTATAAGGTTCTATAATAGGGTTCCCTCTTTAAAGAAAGCCTTAAGGGAAGTATAGGGTTCTAAAATAGGGTTCCCTCCTTAAAGAAACTCTTAAGGGTGTAGTATGGGGTTCGATAAAAGGGTTCCCTCTTTAAAGAAACTCTTAAGGGTAGCTATGGGGTTCTATAATAGGGTTCCCTCTTTCAAGCCTTAAGGGTAGCTACAGTATGAGGCTCGATAATAGGGCATAGGGTTCCCTTGAAGGGAAGTATGGGGTTCTATAATAGGGTTCCCATTGAGGGTAGTATAGGGTAGTATGGGGTTCTATAAATGGGGTTGCCTTTGAGGCTCGTACAGTGTGGGCAGTTGGGCAAAGAATGGCTTTAGGGTCAGGGCTTGGGGGTTTCACGTTCTTCAGGGTTTTGAGCTCGAGATCATTCTCCCGTTTTTGGTGCAGTCTCGTAGGTTCAGAGCTGAGCTCGGGCTGGAAGTTTATAGGCGCAGCCTTCGCATCATCCTCGTAGAGCGGCCAGTCCAAATCCTCGGCTCTGAAGACCCCCACGCTGCTAAAGGAAGAGTGCAAATTTCGGCTTAGGGCTTAACGTCTATAATTTAGGCTACAAGAAGAGTGCAAGTTTGCCTCTTTAGATTGGTTCCGACAACAAACCCAACACCGTCTCACGAACGAACCGAATCCAAAGAAGAGTGTGTCCGTGTTTCCGTGTGTGCATGTATGTGTGCACGGATGGACTACCGGATTGTCTAATAAAACCCATGGAAACCCCAGCACTCCCGAATCCCGAGCGCTGGCAAGATAATCTTAGGTAAATAATTACCTACACTACTTTTGGGGTATAATATACCCCAAAACCGTATAATATACCCCAAAAACCCTATTCTAATGATTAATACTGGAATTAGAATAAGGAACCCCCCAAGATACTCTAGGTAATTATGAGGGGCCCTATCCTAAACCCTAAACCCTAAACCCTTTTTACAGCAGGCCTCGTACACAGCCTAAACCCTAAACCCTAAACCGTAAACCCCTAAACCCTAAACGCTACACCCTAAACCAATGAGAACCCAGGAGCCGGGTCCATGCAGGTGACATCCTCGGGAGTCGGGAGCTTCTCGTCCGGAAACTCATCGAAGTTCGAGGCGTCCGCCGCACTTTTGCCTTTTTTTTGGGGGGGGTTAGGGTTTAGGGTTTAGGGCTGATTGCAGACACTTTGCGGCTTGCTGGTGCTGTTTGTGTTGGCTTTGGATCTTTGGGTGTTCCAGCAGAGACATACGATGTTCTGCAAAGTAGGTCCCAGGTGCACGTCGGCTGGTACGGTGGCGTCATCTCCTGCAGCCGGTTGAAGTCCAGGCCCTCAAAGAAGTCGTCGAGCTTGCATTCGAAGGTGGTGATGCGCCGCTCCACAGGGCAGAGAACCTTGGAGACGAACTGCGAAGCGTGAAGGCAATCCTGGGGACTTGCTCCCAGGTCCCTCTGCTTCTTCTGCATCCGAGCCAGACGTGTCGGCAAGTTGGACTCGTGATGCTGAATTTGACTTCGTAGCTCCTGGAAGGCCCGGCGCCGATCCCGGCTTTGGGTATAGAAGGGCAAGCTTCCCGAAAGGCATTCGAAGGTGATGACCCCCAAAGCCCACAGATCCGAGGCTGCACAGGCCCGGCCGATGAACATCTCCGGCGCCATGTACTGCGGTGTCCCACAGGCCGTCCGAAGGCCTTCCCTGCCGGGTCTCTCCTGAAAGGTGATTCCCTGGTATCTCTGGTCCTCTTCCGCTTGCGTCACCTGGCTTCTGGAGCTACCCGAGGACATGTATAGGGTTTAGATAGTGGAGACATGTATGCTTTGGCTAGTTGTGGTCACTTCAACTGAACTCCCTACTAGCAAGAACCAACTCCCTGCTTGTAGCAAGGGCCCAGTCACGTACTCATCCAGGTCCACCGGCGTGCAGAGGCCGAAATCCAGCAGCTTCAGGTGTCCTTGGGCAGTCAGGACCAGGTTATCTGGTTTCAGGTCGCGGTGGATGAAGCCACACTGGTGGATGGCATTGATGGCGCTGATGAGCTCTGCCATGTAGAACCGGGTCTCCACCATGCTTAGCTTGTCCTTCTTCTCCATGTATGCGAAGAAGTCCCCTCCTTGAACAAACTCCATGACGATGTAGATGTGCTCCGAATCTTGGAAGGTGCAAAGGAGGTCTACAAACCACGTACCCCAGCCGCGTGCAAGAGCATCTCGCTCATTGTAGGCCTTCTTGCGGTTCTTGTTGAGATAATGGGCTTTCTGGATCTGCTTCAAGGCATACACCTCTTCCTGAGAAACGGTTTAGGGTTTCGGGTAAGACCAGACAGTAGAGCAACGAATTGTGTGTAGTATTTAGATTGATGAATGCTGCGGAAGAAGTCAGAAAAATCTTAATCAACCCCAGAATCATGCATCAAAACCGAACGCAATACCAGCGATACTAAGGAGAAGGCGAACACAGAAATGCTCCTCATATGCAGCACTGAAAACAAAACCAAAGTGGTTGCGCTTCTCATCCTGATCCGCTAGTGCCGAGCTTCCGTACCCTGCCTTTGGACGAGGTGTACCACCTTAGTGCTGCTGTTTCCGGAAACTCAACAAGGGATCCCTACAATCCCTGCAATCCATATTAATGTCTGATATTTGGCCTTGTATTTTCCTTGGCAGCTTTCTGGGCTTACATGAAAAGAGCACCAAGCGCACCACTCCGAAAGCTCCCTTCCCAAGCACGCGAAGGGAGGAGAAGTCCTTGATTGACCACCTCAGGGTTTCACGTAGGGCTCCAGGATTTTTTGACACTCACACTCGGCTTCATGCAGGGTTCAAGGAGTTTTTGACACTCACACTCGGACAAACCTGGCAAGGTCTGCAGCAACACTGTTCCAACAGACTCATTAACCACCTACTCAAGCAGGGCTGTCAGGAGGGCTTGGAATACGACACCCACAGTTCAACACTAAGGGAGCGGGGTTTGGTGTGTTTGGTTTCCGAGAGCCCAACTTGCCCCTTGACGATGGTGCTCATAGGGTTTTACGCTGCTTTATTATGCTGGTTCTTATACTAAGGTTTCAAAAACGCACGGGAGGAGTATACCTTGACAAATACCATGCTTCTTACCAGGATTTGCAGCGGGGTGTTGGCTGGGGCGCATTGAGCTCCAAGTGTTGTGATTCCTGCATTACTACACAACAAGCTGTTTGCACTTCGCAGGTATGCAAAGAACAAACGCACCTTGCACCCTACGAGTTTGGCCACAAAGAACCGCCGAAACCTGGAACCCTCCAGAAGTCTCGCACGAATACTGGGGCTCAAGGAGCTCATGACGGTGGTAGTCTCAGCAAGCACATGTCAAGGGTTCGTACTGCAAGGAAGGCAGGCAGGAGACAAAAACTTATTCTAGGGTTTAGGGCAGCTTAGGGTTTAGTATTGATCTCTTTGGCGTCACAGCCTCCTCAAGTACGCACCTTGCCGATCCTTCTTTGCCTCGATCTCGTCCAACCTTGCCCGTGTCCAATCCGAAGGCGTCTCATATCCCGCTCGCTGCTCGCGAGCGTTCGCACGGAATACCTTCTCGGCTCGAATCTCGTCCTGGCGCTGCTCATCAAGGCCCGCCTTCAGCTGCCTGTGTCTGTCGAAGAACTTCTTTCTGGCTTCCTTTTCCTGCGCTTGGATGTCCTTGCATGTGGACATAATTGAGAAAGACAGGAAGGACGACCACCACCACGACGACGACTACTACCTCTGCTACGATCACTACTATTCCTAGTCCTAGCCCTACTGCTCCTCCTGCTTTTGCTGCCCCTCCTCCTTCTGCTCCTGCCCTTGTCCCGTGCCTTCCTATCCCTACTTCTACTCCTGCGCCTACACATACACTCCTCCTCCCACAGTTGCTTGCTGAAACCATGTTTGGGTCATGATGCTACCGCGCATTTAAGATGACGGGCTTGTGGCTTGGGTCCTGTGGGCTTGCATCTGCACGGCCGGGGATGGGCAGGGACGATGGATTCGACATCGGAGTCGTCGGAGAGGTGGGCGATGCGAAGACAAAAAGCACTTGGATGGAGCTTCGAAGCCAAACGGCTGCAGTAACAGCAACAGCGATGACGATGATGGCGGTGACCAGCGATAACGATACAAAGTCCATAAACAACCTACTCATAGTATTAGATAGTATTAGCAAATATCAGAAATGCAGTAAATTCTAGGTGCTAGTTACACCAATACGCAGTTGTGAAAATGAAAGTAAATAATTTCGACATCGACAGGAGCTGCTGTAGCAGCGGCAAACGCCGATGCCAGTACATGCCAGTACGGCACGCCCAAGGATCCTCGAACAGAACAGGAGGCTCTTTTTTGCCTACAGCCCACCTGAGTTTCGCGGCGGCAGCTGCCTGGCAGGCCGCACGGTAGCGCTGCAGAGCTTGGGCGTGGAGCTGCCGCACCTGGTTTACACTATCGCAACTCAGACTCCGCCAGACGAGGTCTCTGTGTCCAACTAGGTCAGCATGACTACTTTAGGAGGCACCTGGTTTAGGCTTCAGGGTTTTGTAGGGTTACACAACCTGTAGTCTTTAGGGTTAGGATTTAGACTCTCGCAACTCGAGCAATCCAGGCGGCATGCTTGCCGAAGCTAGCTACGGCTGCTATTGTAGCGATTGTTTGTCAAACCCGCCACCTGCTGGAGGAGTGACTTGGCCACCGCCTTGGCACCCCGCTGCCGCAGCGCCGTGCGTGCCGATGGGGGCAGCGTGCCGGTCTGCAGGAGGGCCCGGCAAACTGACGGCCCGAAGGGATCCGAGTCCGTGGCCTCCTTGAAGGTACAGAGCCCAGCTCAACCCAGTTTTGTCTTATTGTAAGTATAGCTCTAGGTACCTGCTACTCGGAACTGATGCAGGTGCTTGTATGCAAATCCATACTTCCTCTCCTTCCTTCAAACCGCGTGTTCGAAACTTGTCCACAGTCCTGGAGGTGGCAGCGCGGTGAGTCGAAGCCTTGCGACGAGGTCAGAGAGGCTGCGCTCGCCCCGGCTTCCACAGGGCTCGCTTTCCTGAACACTCTTCAACGGCCCTCAGAAATAGAAATTGAGTAGGTATGTCTCGACTGCAGGATGACTTTCAAGAGGAATCTATAGGTACCCTTCGATTTAGAAGGTCATAAGCGGGGTCAAACAGAATCCCAAGTTGCCACTGAGTTTCAGGGGCCGCACCGACAGGAGATCTTCAATGAGCTGAGAGACGCAGTGGCTTTGAAGCTGCTCCGCATCTGGCAGCCGGTGTCCTGCTGCCTCTTGGAACTTCCTGGGTTCTTGCCGGGGGGACTTAATCGAGTTTTAGCCATCATAATAAGGATATAACTGTGCATAGCTGAAAACATGCATTTCTTCTATGCTCATAAGATCGAAGTCAACATGTCCTAATAACATGAGCTCAGCTTCAGGTGGGTGCGCCAGCGTGCATTGTCAGTCAGTAGGCGGCTGATCTCGGCCTCCTGCCACAGCAGCACCTGCACCCAGTGGGTCTCCGGCGCCTTCGGCATCTCAAGTGTCGCACGCCGCAGGCCCTCTTCCACCGCGGGCAGCCCCGAGTAGCCAAGCCACTGAGAGAGCCCGAGATCCAAAGCTCTCACTGCATCGGGATAGTCTTCCCAAAAGCTCTCATGTCTCATCTGCAAATCACCCACGCGAACCCAGGCAGCACGGAAGTTCTCCATGCCCCGGGCTTGTTCTTGCCTTTCTCTTCCCTCCTCGGGTGCTCGCGGGGATGGGCTCCGCTCCGCCGACATCCTTCTGACTCCCTGGGCTCCCTGGGCTCCCTCGACTGCCCTGCGCGGCGTGGCCTGGGCCTGGGCCTGCGGCGCCTGCACCAGCTCCGCACGTCTGCGGTGCAGCTCTGCATACGGGCTGGAGTTCTTGTGCGAATCGGACACCTGGCTCGGGGTGGTCGGCGGATTGAACTCCAAAAGCCTCCTGTGAGCCGCGGGCGACAGTGGCGGTGGGGAACCGAAGTTGTGAGCCGGCCTAGACCGTAGCACCGGAGAGGGCCCAACCCCAACTCCCAAAGATTCCGCAATTGGGAGACTCGGCGGCGAGCGCTGCTCGGGTGATCGGTAACTGGAAGGTGGGCTCAGCCCGGTCCTTCGAAGAGGTGGGGGTGGGGTGGCAGGGGTGGCAGGGGTGGAGGGCGAAGGTGAAAGCATGACTTTGGGTCCTCGCGACAAGCCTGGCGAGGAGGCTGTCGGTGACAGGCTCAGAGCTGCAGGCTTTTGGCGCAAGGTTGTGGGGACCTGCTCCACCTGATTTCGTGGTGAGGGTCTGCGGAGTGTCGAGACCCAGGACGGTTCATGCAACTGAGTTTGAGGTAGAGCCGGAAACGTTCCGACCCTCCGCTCCCCATTCTTTCCCTTAGATTTGGGCGATGCGGGCGTCGCTGGGGGCTCACCGGGCTCGAGGCTGCAGGTCGGCAAGCTGGAGCTTGCTTCAGGAGATGTGGGCCGTGGGAGGCGGACAGCACTCAGCTCTGTCGTCGACTGGGCTGCAGTCGGGGACTTGGGCGACGCGGTCTCACTCTCAAGCAGAGGCACAGTGCTGGTCAGCGAGGCGACCTCCGTTGCCAGAGCTTGCTCTGTCTCTTCTGGGACGGCCTCCGATGCTTCCCTACCACCACGGCCCTCTTTCAGGAATTCTAAAGCTTTCGTCCACGAACTGACTCCGTCCATGGCTTCAACTAATCCCTACCATCACGAAAAGAATCGTCGAGGGTGCAAAAGATTTGTGATCGTGCTCGGTCCAGGCGGAAGGGATGAAACTTCGCCATCTTCTCAATGCTTCTCAGCTTGTGCTTGCTTCTTTGCGCAAGAGAAGGTTTGCCGTTTCGGGTATGCAAAAGCCAATCGGCTTCGTGCAAGCAGCCGTCACAACCCTCAGTCAGCTCTTCCAGAAAAAAATCGCAGCGCTTCACAAGCAGGGCCCTGCCCCCAATGTTTAACGCGACATCCTGAACCTGAAAGCTTGGAGGAGAGGTGCCGGGTCTCGGGTTTACAGAAGCTGGAACAAAGGGGATGTGACTCTGCGTAGCGCCTCTGTGAACTTTCTGGGCCAGTTAAAGCTACGGGCACTCGTTCGACGATCTCGCTTTAGCAGCGTGCATATGAGCATACATGGACATGGGATGGAAGCCTCATGTCGTCAAAGCACGGCGACACTAGCGAACCAAAAATCGGTGCCTCTACGCCCTCAAAAGCCTGAACCTGCGTCAACAGTCATGACGATACAGGGGCGAATCAGCAACACTGACTTAACAAGGCATGACAATCGACTACTACGCATAACAACGCTGAGCATGAGACCCCCCGTCATAATCACAAACATAACAATACCGGTTGTGGTGACAATGACAACCATACTTTGCCAGATCCCGATGTCATCCCCACGTCCTACCCCCCAAGCCATCTCAGAAACGAAGGATCACCTAATTAGGCCCTCAGGAGCATCATGGTCTTCATCCCTAAACCCTAAACCCTTTTTACACAGGCTTGATTGAAGCCTAAACCCTAAACCCGAAACCCTGAACCCTAAACTTCATGAGGAGCCTTAAGAAAGGGCCCCCCGCTGTTTTCAGAATCCCTGGCATCCGAGCCCCAGGCTCCGCCTCAGCACCTTCCTGCGTACCTCAGGTGAGGCTGGTCGTTTTTTGGCGTCGGCTCTATCACTATAGGTTTGTTCTACACCTTTTTCCAACTGCGTACAGTCAGAGAGCCTTAGGGTTTAGGGTTTAACTACCCATAGGCCCCATAGTAGTTCCTTTTTGGGATTACCTTATAGGATTCTAATTATGAACCCAAAAAGGAACTACTATGGGGCCTACGGGTATAGAGCCCTCGGACCGGACATTGCGCCGCAGAACAGGACACGCAGACAACCCCGTGTTTGCCGTGCGACGCTGCCGTTTCGGCCGCAAACTCTGCGCGCCCTCCGTGCGAAAGCGCCTCCGTAATGTAGTGCGGCCATGAGAACGCCGACAAAGTCTTTATCGGTTCCCACAGAGCATCCATATGCATCCATGTCCCAACCATGATAACGCCCACACAGACTGCATCCATTCCCACACAACATCCATGTCCCAACCATGCTAACATTCACACCCACAGAGCATCCATGTCCCAACCATGATAACGTCCACACAGACGTCATCCGTTCCGACAGAGCACCCATGCCCCAATCATGATAACGTCCACACAGGCTCCATCCACTCTTCTCGCAACGGCACCCCGCCCGAGAGGTGATGCATTCGGATGTACTTTTTTAGAAGAACATCATCCTGACATAAGGGATTCTGTTAGCCGTCGCAAAGACTACGCCTAAACCCTAAACCTATACTGAACTTAGACCCCTAGCAAAAATTATAATTTTAGCTGCTTCTTAGGGTTTATAGTAACCAAAGATTAAAAATTATTTCTAAG